GCAGGCCGAACAAGTTGGCCAGCAGTGGTATGAAGCAGCTGTCCGCAACCAGGCGCGAGTGCCACATGACTCTAGAGTTACATCTCCATCCATTGTGCATCCGAGCCAGCGTCAGACATCGCCAGCCTCCAGACGACGCCCTGCATCAGACAACACTGACCGTTCACCACCTCACGGGCTCAGACAAGACCCGCCGGTGCCCCTCTCAACCAGCTCCGAGCCGGTGCAATCAATCAATCCCTTTGTCACTGCCGAAATGCTGCGGACCAACAGTGTTCCATGGCACGTTTCGCCGGCTCGACCAGCTATCCTGACGTCGGTCACTAATATCTGGGCGGGTGTCCAAGACTTGACTATCCGGAGTCTCAGCTTGAGTGAAGAGCTCGAAAATATCCACTGTGTGTTTTGTTTGGCCGAAGATGAGGAACAAGCCCACGAGTGCGTAATCCTGCGCTGCGACCAGTGCCGAGCGCTTTCCCATCTGTCCTGCGCGGAAGAGTGGTTGGAAAACCGACGTACAGGATTTGGCATATCATGCTGCGCGTGGTAAGTATGAATGATCTCAATTCTGTAATGCCGGGATGCTGATGAATGCAGCCGAAACGAAGGAACTCTAGACGCATTGATTCGTCCACTCCGAGTCCCCTTGGCAGATACCGAAACAAACTCTGTCCACTCGGCAAGCGAATCACCAACCGATAGAGAGCCTGTCATCGTCAGGAGTCCAGCACGAAACGACCCGAGTCAGAGTCAACCGCGTCGGGGGTCAGTGGAATCCCTAGGGGTATCAATCGAGCAGAGTGGGCCCCGTCGCTCAGCCAGACTAGCAGGGGCTCACCTACCGCGAGATTCTTCTACCTCCGCATCGCTTCGCCGGTCGGCACAACTGAATTCCAATCAGCGTAGGTGATCACTGTTTGATGAAAATGGCGAATTAGTGAAGCGACTGTCAATCACACGTGACAGCACGTGACCAGACACCCGGCATTCGGACCAGCAACAGAGCATAAGCCGTGATATGAAGTTTTGGAGCAAGCTTAGCAACCAAATGAATAAAATCCTGATCGTTAGCCCCACAGAGCACTACGCGACCGTTTCATAGTTGCAAGTGCTAGATGCTGATGAGGCTAAAATGCTACTGGAAGTTTTCTTCATCTTAGATAACTATGTCTAAGCTCATAACCGAGTGCCGGTAGATAAAAGCGCACATACTAACGGCGGCGGCCAAAGTAAATGCCGACGGCGAGTTCAGCTGAGCCTTGTGGAGCGCGAAGACGGACGTTGTTGGCAGAAAACACAGCTCGCGGGTCGGCAGGAGAGCCTCGACAATTCTATCCATACTGCCTCACGACGTATTAAACCAGCTCGTCTATATTAATCGCCAAACATTGTTAATTTGACTCTAGGTATAAACATATTAATCCTGGAAACGCCAAGAGCAATTATAGAAGCTGTGTATTCCCTGGGAACTTTTCTTTAGCTCCTGGCACCAGTTCCTGTTTCTAGGAATTTGAGGTCTACCCCTGGGAATCCACTCTACGATCCTGACTGGTTACGAACTGGCTCTGGGAATACAATGGCTAGATCTGGGAGCTGCCGTGCTCCTGGGGCCCTACTTTTGGATCCTGGTCTCATTATTCTGCTTTCTGAGGTGGCGGAAAGCCCTCACAAGATACCTTTACCAGACCTGCGCACAAATATGAGTCATTCAACCACTCCTGGAAAGGCAAGCTATAGGCCCAGGAACCGCACCTGAGGTTCCAGGAGTTGATAAGACTGTCAACAGGAACATGACTTTGGTTCCCGAGGTGGAGGTACAAGACCCCAGAAGCTATCTGGGCTTCCTGGGGGCTACTTGGCTCCTAGAAGCGGCTTCTTTGCCCCCAGAAACCGCACTGAAGCCCCTGGGAGCTACCTTGCTCCCAGGGCCAAGCCGTCATTTCCAGGGCTGATAGAGCTTGATCCTGGAAACCTCAAAAGCATTTATAGGAGCTGTGTATCCCCTGGGAACTACTCTTTAGCTCCTGGAGCTACTTCCTTATCCCAGGAAACTAATCTACTCCTGGGATCTTCACTCTACGTTCCTGAATGAACACGAAATTGGTTTGGGGAACGCATTGCCTGGACCCGGGAGCCGTTGCACTCCTAGGGCCGTATTTCTGAATCCTAGAATCAATCTTCTGCCTCCCAGCGTAGGGTACTAACTCACAAAACACCTTCTCCAGACCTATGCACAAATCCGAGTCACTTTATTATTCCCAGATGCCTAGCCTATGGTTTTAGGAACCGGACTCAAGGCTCCAGGAATTAATACGCTATCAACAGGAATATGACGTTGATTCCCCGAGGTACAGGGATAAGGTCCCAGAAGCTACGTTGGGTTTCCTAGGGGCTAAGTTGTTTCTGGACGCGGCTTGCATACTCCCAAAAACCGACTCGGAGCCCCCGGGAGCAACAGAGCTCCTAGGGCAAAGAGGTGTGTTCCTAATGCTGTTAGAGCTGTCAACAGGAACGTGAATGCTTTGATTCCAATCAGGAAAATCAATTGGTAAATTATCTTAGCAACTCTACATCAAAGTCCATTATTTTGCATGACCCTATCTGTCGCACCTCTCTCATCTTTTTGGACTCCACCTACCTCCCTCATTCTTCGAAAAATAATCATCGGATTTTGCGATTGTCTTTATTCGTAAAAAAGCAAATTGTCATTATAGTCAGTGTGCTTCCACGTGTACTCATACGTGCTAAGAGCTGTTCCTTCGTTTTGCAGCGATTCCAACAAATCTGTCAATCCGAATAAGCATTCTGCTTCAAGGCCTCATCAATATACCACCTCATTTGAAACGAATCTACAAGCGCTGGATTATGGTGAGGAATCTCAACGGTGATCCTCAAAGAGACTACTTCTTGGCACTACGGCTTTGGTTGCACTGGTTAATAGGATCCAGGTTGAATCTAAAGCAAATGGTTTTCAGAGAGATAGACAAAGCCAATGTGTTGACTACGAGGAGTGGCGCTGCATGCCTTACATGTTCGAGTGGTCAAGGAATATTCTCGTCCCAACAATCGACCTTCGCCAAGTACATGGACGTGGGCTCAATGTAGGTCGTGCTCGTTAACAGCGGCCGAATTCATACGGGTCTGGGTGTGTGACCGGTAGCATGGCTTCGATGAATGTGGAATCTACACTGTTAATTCCAAAAAAGGCCTTATAAAAATGGGGTGGGAACCAGAGCTTCCAACTAATCCAGTTCTTCAAATCTTCGACGGCGATGACCCTCCTCCCCAGTCAAGCTCAGTACATAGTTCGCCAATTAAAACTGTGGAAAAGCTCCGGTCGCGAATCGTTAAATTCAAGATAAAAGGGCCTAAATTGAGTCATTTTCATCAAAGATGTGGCGTCAATTAGACCCTATTTTACAGGGTGGTCTTACTCTGGCGGAAGCGGGCGCTCAGTACGCCAGCGACAATGTCAAAATTTTAGACTACAAAAATCGCCGGGAAACTAAAAAGTCGAAGCGACAGGTTAATATAGGTGGTGCTCAATCTGTTTATGATTTATATTGGAACAAATACAGACTGGATCGGAATAGAGCGAGCACTCCTCAATGCAGATCCCAAAATCAAAAGTCATCTGACAACTCACCCTGCATTGGTCATTGGCGGTAGTGCAACCTCTAAGTCTGCGGTTTACGCTCTCGCAGAGGGGCGTTGGCGCAAAGGTCGTATATATATTAGGCCCTGGAGCCCGCTAGGGACCACAACACGACTGTGTCCATAGTAGTAGACTCTTAAAATCTACCTTTCCTTCCTCTTTTATAGCTCTATAGCTTCTATAATATCATCATATTGTGTTTCATGTTTTATGATCTCATCTACTAGCTTGTAGATTCAAACATTAACCGTTCTGGGATTGTAGGCTATGAACCGCTCGAAAAGGTTTAGCGGTCGGGTTCCTCCACGGTTTTCCCCTCGCGTTTCGGCTCGACTCTCCCGATTTGGGTTAGCTCCACGACGGACCTGAATCATCGCCCGTTTCGGCAGTTGACCGCACATCGGAGCCACTGATCTTGATTTCTTTATATTGACTGACTTGTTGATGTAGGTGATGAGTACAGGACAATTCGTGCCACCTCGCTCGGGATTATGGTCGTTGGGAGGGTTATAGCACCATCACAGTAATTCAATCTCGAATAGCGCATAGTTTGTGGATGACTTGAGCCGCAACTTCCAAATAAAAAGGGCCGAGTGCTAGACGCGTCTCAAAGCAATGCCGATTTCTCTATGAACGGACTACAGTCTTCATCAGAGGGCCATGATGGCCCGTCAGAGGTACCTCGTCCTTTAAATTCTAGAGTATACCGTCATCTGCAGTTCCGAGTGTCGATTTCTCCGACCCTCTGATTCCGTTTGTCGGTGGTCGAAAGACGCCAGATACTCGGCACATGAACAATCCTTCGTATTTTGGAAACCACAGATCAATCGTCAGTGATCGGAATTAAGCTAGTCGGAATAAATAGCGAAGCACGACGATATCGGGCCACCTCGATGTGGTACCCCAAGGCGGAGAAAGGAGTAATAGCGAACCAATATGTTTCCATTTAAACTTAACCCGGCTATCGACCTATTCATGGGAATGTGTAGGGGAAACGCGGAGAGGGTTGGGACCCTGAATGGCTTAGCCCAACTGCGCTAGGGCTTAACCGGTCCCACTCGGCCCTAAACCGACATTAAATCTGCAGTGAAAATGTGGGGTGGTCCAGACACAATGTCCATTCTGGAAAACCGTAGCCACTGCGTCCCTAAGTTGGTGGGGTCCATGCTGATTGATGACTACAACTGGGTAACAGACTCTGGGGAAGTCTGGGATTAAGATGGAATCTAAAGGTATAAAGGCTTCGGTGGGTGAAGGGGGTTATTGATTTGAAATCGATTCTGCTCTGCATACTGGATTGTATACTCCCTTTTTCAATCCAGCAAGACTACGCTTCATCCCTGCAATGCATTGGTCGACCTCGGTTCCGCTGCTCTGCAGCTCAATGCTTACTTTCGTCACGGGCTCGCTTGCGCTGGGGCGGACGGATAAGCACTATGCCATCATGGACAATGATTGGTATACAGTGGGCTTTGTACCTTATTTGGTTGCTCTTGATGGCGATGTGGAAATCCTAGGCTTGGCCTCAGGTGGGTATCTAAATTATACTGCATTGGCGCAATTTTTCACTAAGCGGAATTTTTAGATACCGCCAACAGCTGGCAGCCACAAGGCGCTTTGCACGCAGTGGCAACCTTAGAGGCCGGGAATCTCAGCTGCATTCCAGTCTATCCAGGTGCGACATGGCCGCTGATCAATACCCCCCACCGCTTCCGAGCATGGGAGATGATCCATGGCAAACTGCCCTGGGAAGGTGCTTTTGCGCCCGAGAATAAGACTCTGGAGGCTGAGGGCAATGATCCCACCTCTGGCGATCCGGACCGCATAGTCAAGGAGGCTTTCAAGGAAGGCTTCCCCAAGGGCCGACCGGAAAACTCCACCTCGGCGGCTAACTTCATGGTCGAGATGGTGCACAAGTATCCCGGCCAGGTATCCATTTACTCGGCCGGCGCCTTGACCAATATTGCGCTTGCTGTGCGTATGGACCCGCAGTTTGCGTCACTTGCCAAGGATCTTGTGATTATGGGTGGGTATGTCGACCTGAACATGCTTCAGGCCACTGGAAGTATCATGCTGGCAAATCACCAGTCTGACGTTAGTATTCTTCGAATGATCCTATGATGGTGTTGACTCCTGACAATATAGATCAATCTCATGATCGACCCGGAAGCTTCTAAGATAGCCCTGACGGCGGATTTCCCCAATATCACCATCGCCGGAAATGTTGCCAACCAGGTCTTCCCGACCAAGGAGTTCTTGGAAGAAGTTCATTCGGTTCCAAACCCATACAGCGAGCTCTTCTATAAGTATTACGACCTGTCATTGCCTTTCTGGGATGAAACAGCTGCTGCGCTGATGGTCGACCCTTCTATCTCTGTCAACCAGACTTCAGGTATGTCATGTGGAAGGTAGATTCAAAGTGCCATGGATTATGACTAACGTTTTCAAGTATATCTGGATGTGGACACATCGTATGGCAGCCCCAGCTATGGAAACATCCATGTGTACCAGAAGGCACTTGCGCCTCAGGGTATCCGGGAGGTGAACTATGTGTTCGAGGTGGATGGCGAGAAGCTCATCAGCCGGATCAAGCATGCCCTACAGTATCCCAAATCCTGTGCGGATTTGGAGTAGGTTGAGTGGACCGTCGGATTTGGCTTGCTTGCCTATACTGACAGAAATACTGGGTACAACAATGTATGATATGGATCAGTGATATGTTGATCTCTACAAATGTTTTTAATTGGCCACTACCGAGGTACTCCGCCTTCATCTACTAGAATTGATGTGCCTGTCCTGACTTTAAGGATCCAAAGCTGTCATGTCGTCGCCTAAGGCACCATATATACTGACATAGCAACGTAATACCTCACTTAGGCAGTGGCTCGGTGATCGGGGCAATCACGGAACATTCCAGGCCAATCAAATGTCGAATCATCTCAGGATTTATGATATTGCTAATCTCCCGGACGGCTAGAATCCCGATTGACCAACTCATCCTACCGTAATTTACTAAGGGGAGCGTGGTTGGGTACAAACTGACACCGAGCTGATTCACTCACAATGTTTTTGCTCGCGAGCCTCATTCGACTGTGGCCAAATTTAATATTGGGGTTTAAGCATTGAAACTATAAATCTTTCTCGATTCTTCGACAACCTGCGATGTATACCTTCAAACTACACTGACTACATTATTCGGCCTCATAGCGGCCAAATCTCTCTGTTCTCCAAATCAAATCCATCGATCCTCTATGTCTAAGGTACTCACCAATTTCGGCGCCACCAGCAGCCAGGGTAGCTCCGTTATCGACGCCATTCTCGCCGAAACTTAACTATCGAAGGAATTCAAGGTCCGGGGTATCACCCGCAACATTAGCAAGAAATCGGCACAGGACCTGGCTAATCGCGGTGTAGATGTTCCATCCCAAAACCTGTTGATACCAGGCGAGACTCCGACTGTTGCCAACAATGGGCTATCATAATGGTTCTTTGAGTCCGTGGACGGTCAGTTGGGTGACAACCATGGTTCGTACATCTTGGTAAGATTAAGTTTCCATCGTTTTCTTCTTTACTCTTTTCACTTCCTTGCTCATCGTCTGGGAAGAATCACCATGGCTAGAGGCTAGCATCCAAAACAGGCCGATCTGTACTCCATAGGTTCCCTCACGAAGATGTTGAAGGGATCCCACACTGTCTTCCTCGTCACCAACTACTGGGAGATTAAGAACCCTGAAGTCGAGTTCTCCGAAGGCAAGAATGTCGCCAATCTCTGCAAGGCCGTTGGTGTTTCCAACCTGATATTCTCGTCTCTCCACCATGTCGCGGAGGAGACCAAGGGCCGCCTCAGCCATGTTCCTCATTTCGACAGCAAGGCAAACGTTGAGAAGCATATTCGTGCTTCGGGCGTCGAATGCAGCTTCGTTCTTCTAGGTTACTACATGAGCAACTTCACCCAGATTCTCAACCGTGCTCAGGATGGGTCGTACCAACTCTTCTACCCAGTTGGAAAGCAAGCACGGTTCCCTCTGTTCGATGCTTCCCAAGATACAGGTACGGCCTCTATTGAACCCCCGTTCCTTTGAATAAACTGATGTATCCTCTAGGTCTCTTCGTGAAAGCTGCCAAAAAACACCGCGACCAGTTGAAGGACAAGCGAATTTTGGCCACTGTCAAGTACTACGGCCCCGAGGAGATCGTGGACACATTCACCAAGGTAACTGGCAAGAAGGCCGTCTTTAGCAAAGTCTTCCCCTAGGAATACAAGCGCTCATTTCCTCTAGCTATCATCGATGAGTACCTCGAGAACTATCTGTTTGTAGAGGAGCCTGGTTACTACTTTGGAGAGCCCCTCGAGCCCAGCTTGCGCCTTCCCGATGCTAAGATTTTCAGTCAACCACCTTTATTAATTGGATTTTCGATGTGGTCTAGACTTTTCATTGTCAGTTGTAGAACCCTGGTGAGCTTTGAGAAAGACATTGTAGCGCGACAGTGGCAATGGTCAATCCCAATTCCACTGGAACAAAGCCCTATACAGGCCCTCTACAGGCCCTAACATGATCTCTGGTTTGTTTTTGCTTTTCCAATAAAGAGCGAATCACGTAGTTTTCATGACACAACTTTTGAAAATGCTTGTAACTGCCAGAAGAACGTAAATAGTGGAAGTCGCATTTCAATGGCAATATTACAACTGCATTACATCCACCATAGCCTTTCTCGTGTACAGGAGCGGCTCAGATTCTTCGACTCAGGCAGTTACTGACACCACTGAATACCATACCTAAACGTAGATCCCTGTGCGGGGCGGTCAATCACTTCCTCCACAATCAAACTGCAGCTTGTGCGCTTTCGCACTAGTGCCCCATGGGGGCCCGGTGTGTAAATGGGTACTTGTTTTTCTTTTCTCATGATGCTGATGCCGGCACAGCTGCTTAGCAGAGGTGAAATAGAGTTTGCACCTCGCTTCGGGGCTATTACTTTGGTGTCTACCTAAAACTGTAAAATGGCAACTCCCCAGAAGGCGACTGCGATCAATCATTTTCTTCAATTTTCCCGACGTCTCTCTAAACCAACAATCATCCCCCGAACGGAAAATTTCAGGATAGCAAATAACCCCAAGCCCTCTCAGAGTGGGGCAGGTCATGGTGCTGTCAAAGCACAATCACGTGCTGGGAGATCGTGTGCCGCTTCGCCTTGTTCTGCTCGGCCGACGGTCTCTACGTCAAAGGCAAACCGTAACCCTCTCAAGACGGTAGTGAAGCTGCACAAAGGGCAGGTATGCTGATCACTGTGTCCCCTTCGCTTGCTCGAATCTTGTTGAACTCTTATACTTCATATCATTATTAATTTCATTATGCCCACCTTGTTGACGCTGGCTTCCAGGGATCTTCCATGGCGAAAAGCGCCCGGAAAAAACATCATGAAGCTACCCATCGAAAATGTTTGGATGTGATGGGCCAGATTCAAAAAGAGTCTCAACTGGCTCTTGGGGAGAGAGAGGAAGAAAGGGTCCATGACTCTCAGTTAATGGAGCGTCTGCGTGCCGAAAAGACTCAGGAGACTTCGAAACTACAGCAGGCTATCACAGCAAAAGACAAAGCCTTGGTTGAGAACTAGAGGCTTGTAAAAGAGCTCTGCTAGATACAGCAACAGAAGGAGTCGGCGAACGCCACTATGCAGTATCAGGTCTCATAGAACGATATCCAACCGGTCTTGCATCATACGCAGACAGATAGCTCATGAAATAATCTTCGGCAACACCACCGCCATCCTATAACAACAGTAAAAATAGGAAACAAAGGTTGGCGTCGATCGGTGTTCAGCTGTGGAAGAAATATTGACGTAAATGTCAGGGACTAGGTTGCAATATCTAGTTGATATAGGGTATTAAACCCGAATATCAAGTGACCGCATGTATGCGGTATACCATGCAAAAGTGCATATTACCAGTTAGTCATCATCATGTCCGCACAGATTGATGTACGTCGACCACAGGTTGTCACCATAGTAAGATATCTAATAGATTCGAAACATTACAAACAAGACAAGATGGTGACCTATAGGAGACTGCATAGCTTATTTAACTTCGAAAGTATCTTTCGGTCCCCCAGTTCGCAATCACTTACTTTAGAGAATTAGATACAAAGAAAATTTAGCCCGTGATAGCCACGAATGCTTGAAAGGGGAAATCCAACAATCTAATGCAATCGAAAGCTTTGAAAAAAAAAACTAGAAACACCATGTCCTATCCATGTCTCTGTAGAGATGGAGGTGCACCGGCAGATTTTGCGTTGCTTTTTCCCAGAGCTGCACCTGCACCTAGCGACAAGGACGCCTTCTATTTCTTCTTATTTGGTGGTGCATATTGCTTTGAATAAGTCACTGGGGCCACCTATGTTGCGTAGCCTCTAGGATACTATGATCACACTTGTACCTCAATCCAGGGTTACAACTTCGATGAGGGGTCAGGGTAAATGAACATATCCATCATAAGCCGGCTATCGATTCCTGTCAGCCTTTGGTTGCCATATGCATTCCTATAGCACACTCCTCTCACAGCCATCATGCAATATACGGCCCGTAGTATCTTCCTCGGCGCTACAGCTTTGGCTGTTGCATCCGGCGAGCTTGCAATTGACCTCGTTCTTGAATCTATTTACTTGATGTCAACGTGGGTTTCAGAAGCGATAAATAGCGGTGAACAAACCGTGTAGGCCCCTTCCACCTGGCAGGATCCTGTGTTCAGACTTTCTGTCCCCATCGCGAGGAACAGCCAGACTGCACCAGCCTGGTACACCAACCTCTTAGGAGCATTCAAGAATGGGTATCGACGAAAGGTGCGACGATTGTTGTGATATGAGGCTGTTGCAGATCAAGAAGCTTCCAGTTCTTTCTGCGTGGAAGAAATACATGATGCAAGTAGATGCCTTCACTGTGTATATATATATAGCCTCGTGTCTCCCTCTGAGAAAACAATTAATTTATACCTATGAACTACAACAACGATCGCTTCTGACACACACACAGCCCGGAAAGTGGTTGGTTCACTTCTCCAGCTCTTCCGCCACTGCTACTGCCACATCCACTTCATCTTCACCTTCGGTGCCAACGCAACCTGGTGGAGGCCCTGCTATGACTGCTGATAATTTCCTGGGCCTTGCTGGTGCACTAGACCTTGCAGTTACCCTTTGACGCCTAAAGCCCCGGAAGTACCACAATAAGATGTGAATGTGCCGTGAGAATTGTTGCTTTCGGATACGGGCTCATTCTAGACATAATTATTGGTTCGAGCTTAGGGTGATATAAGGTTTATATTCTGTCACCATAAGGTGTATCATGAGACCGTATATTAGCTGTACTATGGCGCCCGTGTGATCACAGGCTTGTACACATAACCAACTATCATTTCTCAGCGTGACAAAGGAAATTGTTTGTAGTACATATTGGAAAATATATCCAGTATCTCAAAGAGTGTGACGTTTTTGTGTTATTTCTTTAAATCTAGAAGGTCAAGTGCGAAGCTCCGCGAGGTCTTTGATCACTGGGAGAGCTGCTTCCGTGCAAGGGCGGCCCGATGAACGAGGTCGTCCATTCCTATAACCAGAATCAAACTTAGGAACGCGAATTTCATTGTTCAAAGGAAAGGGTATTTACACACCCGGTTGAGGATCAATTGGCGGACGCACTGAGACTTTGCGGTATTTCACAGAATCTTGTAAGACCGGGATCTTCCCGTATGTTAGGTTATATCCAAAAAATAGAAGGAAATGCTTACGTTTTTTGCGTCGATCTCTGCGTATACCTGGTCTGCTATTTTCTTGATATTTTGCAATTGCCTTATTAAATGGGCATTTTGCCGCGAAATACCGCCTTCCCTTTCCTCCAGCTGTACCATTTGACGGACGTAGATAAGATGGTATAGTTGTTTTTTGCAAGCCAGCATATCATCTCCATATGGGCGTAGGCCAGAAGCAAGCCACGGTTGGCACATTGAGGGGTGTCTTTCCTCGAAGCATTAATGAGTTGGCCATCGGACGCAGCGCGGTCAGCGTAATCGCAAAGATATTTCCGAAAGCTCCTCCTGTCGAGTCTATTGGCTCCAAGATTAATTGCGATCGTATTGACGGTGGCTCCTATATTATCCAGTAGTTCAACTGCGGTGGTGATGTCTTCAGGCATGGTGAATGTCATGTTCAAAGGTATCGAAAGATATTTTCAGATTTAGGTGCAATGACTTTTTACAACAACACCCTGGATTTTGGATGGAACCAGCCAAGGCTCAGCACATACATCATTGTTACCACCCAAGCGAGCGGGGGCGAAATATGCGCCAAACCGAAATCCAGTCCATATCATGGTTTGGCTTTCAGTGGGCAGCAAGAACCTGGGCTTGGCACCCTGCCGCAACATGAGTCACATGAAACAATTGACGTTGGAAACGCTATAAAGTTATTGGACAAGGTTTTATTATGACGCACCGAGATCCTTATGATATCTTGCTTTCAACAAATTATAATTAAATTCACCCTCTTGTGTCTCATGCATAGACCTAATGATGACATAGTTGCGTGGCAGAAGAGTCAGTGGAAAGAAATCCCGTTCATAGACATGAAAAAGACCTTGTGGGGTAATTCATGATCTCTAACGGCCAGAACCTTAATACACATTTTTCCGGTTTTCGTCTGTCTCCACAAGTAGACGCCGCAAGTAATAAAGATTGGCTGCAAGGTGATCTACCGAGACGGCTCCCAACAAACAGGTATTGGCTAAAAGCCCTGGTGAGAAGGGTTGAGTTGATCGTTGGTTCCAAAACCAATCAGATGAATCTTTACGATCCATCGTGGTGATTGGATGGTCTGGACAATTTTTGACCGGCCCGCTCAACCATTAGCGAGATTGTTGATGATGATCAATACAATGCAGGACGACTGTGGGCTCGCAGGAAACCGAAATACGTCCCGTGGGTAGCCTCTTCGGACTCGACCGCAATTCTGGTACCCATACGGCCTGGAAGAATAGCCATTAGACTCTTCCCCCTGTGGACATTCACGCAATCTTAAAAATCTACAGCGTAGCATCTGTCCAAGCTCCATAACATCCGCGAACTTACTAAACCTACAGATGATGATGATGATGATTTCATTTACCCTGACCCCTCGTCGAAGTTGATTTCCCAACTAGACTAACATACGAATCTGTACCCAGCCTAGTGGGTTTTGGTTTAGAATCCAACTTTGCGAGGGGTCGGGGTAAATGAAATCTATTACTACTACTACTACTACTACTGTAACTGGATCAACGGGGTTCAAGTAAACAGTACGATAACGTAATTTTGTTTGAGAGCTTGTAACTTCGATACAGTTGCTGGAGCGTCTTTCTGTCGAGTGTGACAAAGAAATCAAAGCTAGAGTTCCCTGTCTACCCATCTCCCCGCGTGACTATTGCCGTGGTGAACCTACATTGATGTGCTCTCCACACACAACACTGTGAAAGCTCCGAATGCTCTTCTCTCGTCGACGAGTCTATTGACGATATCTGTATGCGCAATCTAGACATCCTTCACCATGGATATGATCACCTCAACCGTCTCATCGCCCAGATCGTTAGCTATGTTACCTCCAGCTTGCGTTGCGTTTCAATGGTGCCCTCAATGTCGATTGGAACGAGTTTCAGACCAACTTCGTGCCGTTTTCACTCGCAGTGTTGTTCGTCCGACCCTTCGACCTATCCTTCCGAAGGTTCAAAATCCTCTACGAGCTGCAAGTTGATGACGCGGCGCAATTGCCGGATGCGAAATCCCATTTCCGCGAGTCGTAAACACAAACCCCCGTTGCTTATCGCCGCGTAGCTCAAACATGTGAAAACTGTCGCAGGCGAAAGGTGAAACCTCTTTTTATCATACCAGTGACCAAAGCAAAACCGACGCCGCAGCGATTGCAAAAAGAACATAGACGAGATGCTGCCCTACGCATATACATCTGCCACATTCAAAAAGTTGTCAAACATGGAATCAGGATATACGTCCAAATTGGGGGTCAAAAGACCATCGGGGATACTGGGAAAGAGCGTCCAATCATTTTCATCGATTGAATCAGTGTTGATCGCATCGGGATGCAGATCACTACCAGCTGAATCATCCGAAAATGTTACAGATGAAAGCGCCGGCAGTGAGTCTGCCTCATGGATTGGTGGAGCGCCCTTGCTGGGGTCGTTCAAGACATTCCGCATCATCCTGGCGAGTTGTAGATCGATTTGTTGATTTTCGCACCCAGCGTGTTGAAACACCATGTTTTTGAGGTCCCAGACCTCTTCTAGTAGACAGTTCAGCTGGGCTAAAAGTATTTCTTTCTTTTCAATTTCATCGCTTAGTCGGCGCTCAATTTGTTGGTGTTCTCTCTTCTTCTTTTGGCGGCACTTGTCTGCAGCAATGCGGTTTCGTTCACGAATTTTGGTCCATTCTGATTCGCTAACCGAGCTTCGTCGTCGCTGAGATACTGATCTCTTTGTGGTACAGTTGTTCATGGCTCTGTCCGCCTTCATATTCGGGTCCGGCGTTCAATATATTGCAGCAACAGACTTTGGCTTGAAAATGTCTTTGAACTTCCGATGACAGATAGTGAATGTGCCAGATTGCAATAGGATCAATCCGTCGAATAATCCGTGGTCAATCCTAAAACTAAGCAACATATTGTTGTGCCACCTATAATGTTTATCAAGTCAAGGGTCTACGAAAATCGATGACGTCATACTCGCCAAGGGTGATAGCATAACACAGGATGAGAGCAAGATTCAAGATAAACCCTGTTCTACGCTCCATTTTGATATCTGCGAATCGATGGGGGTCGGACAAGTCTGACAGGAAAGTTTCCGTCCCACAGGGGGTTAAGCAGTTTGATTGTGTGACAAAAGTTTCATTAGCCGATTATCGCGTGCAACGATATGATGGATCGATCGCGCCCGTTGGCGGACGGGGGCCCCTCCACCCGCCCACTGGATGCCCTCGTGGTATCCAAACCCGCCTATGGACCGGTTTTGGAGATGTCCATCGGTGGGTCAGTTGGACTTGGCAAGGTCTAGTTAACTTGCCAGGATTTCTCTTGCCGTCATGCTGGACCCATTTGAGCATTTTTTGCATTATTTATAGGCCAGCTGTTTGATCCGACAAAGCCTGAAATATGCGGGATGGTGAGGGAAGTGAAATTACATCCGTCCTTGTTCTCTACAGATTTGGCTAGTCTGTGTCCAATTCGGCTCCAGATAGCTTCGGATATCGCTCAAAAAGGCGCTCGCGTGTATCTTGACTATCGTCAATGTGTCTTTTTCTTAAATGTATACCTTGCACAATATCCTCGTCTAACCTTGAAAAGTCGACCGTCACATCTGTGATCGTATTTCGTTCTTTCAGTAGATCCTCGGGTCGAATTGAGACTGGAAAAGCTTCTGCAGAAGACCGACACAAACTTCGTCATAGTTTTTCTATAATTTTGCCAAAGCCCCTCCGATGCGGCAGCGAAAGATAGAGCTGTGGTAGTTAACTGGGTCAATTACTGGCTGGGCAAACAACTATTTTAAGTCGTCATTCAACCGGGTGGCCCGAAAATTTATTTAGTCTATCTTTCCCTTCATGCGTTCCGCCGCGAATTTGTGTAACGACATAATCACCTCGATGGATGGTGTTGCCATTTTTGTCTGAGATTCCGTTAACCGTGCCAAGCCCACCAACACACTACCTAATTCTTCTCCAAATTTTGGGGGTCCCTCTGAATAATACATATAGAGATATTCGAGAACTGATTTGAATAGGGCCAAGGACTCATCCACCCATCCATCTAGTGTATCAGTCGACTGAACAGGTGAAAAATGGTGCAGTGACTCCCATCCAGCATACAGCAGCATCTATTTAAGAGCCCAGCCCACCGAAAATATCGAACATGAGGGCTATAACTATAATATTTCATCCCATTGCTTTTCTCAATTAAGGTGTCACTTCTCTTCCCGCAGCTACCCGCCCCTTGCCGCCTCTTACATGTGGCAATGACCCCAGATTCCCCTATCGCCTTGCTTTCAATCATATTCCGTGCACCAAAATGTAAAGAGAATAAATAAATCGCCTCGCATGCGCCATTTCCTACACATCATGCCTGAATTTCTCTGAATTACAACAGATTTCAATAGTCGTTTGATTTTATCTGTAGCTCACTGTTACCTCCATTTCCTCCTCTCACATCACGGTCTCATCCAGGGTGTTCATGATCTTAGCAGTGCACCTGCATACCGCTTGAATCCTCGTCCCAAGCACCCGTGGAGGTGTCTGCCCGTCCCTGCGGTAACCACATGGCTGCGGATAATTAGTAAACCCGAAACCCTGGATCAACTAGCTAATCAAGAACGCGAAAAACCTTAGCCCGGTGTGGTCCACCAATGACATTGCAGGTTCTCCCTTAGTTTCTCACTCTGTTAGTTCAAGGATCGCTGGATCTAGGAATGAACGATCATATTCGGTGTGCCATTCGAAGCAGGATGGAAGACAACACTCGTCAAACGTTTTTGGTGCGGTCGCCAAGGAGAAGGATTGGTGGTATGTAAGAGCTAGCGACATCCACTTCAGGTAGCTCTCATGATACGATGCGAGATTAGCTGCTTTCAACGTCAGTTGATATCAATACTCGGAATCAAATTATATACACCTCCGTGCTTCGAATGATGCGCAGTCATAATAATAACACGGCGAGAGTTCAAGGAGCTCTATTTGAAGTATACCATCCAATAAATTAAAAGTACACTTGCAGACTACCATTAGGAGATAGTGCTTACAATATCTTGTTTCGAGGCTTAGTCCGTGTTCACTTCCGCATATAATTGAGTAACTTGAGGTGAACAGCAGGTGGGATCCAACTTCAGCAGTTGAGGTAACTATTCACTGTAGGGCTCCGAAAGGAATATGACTATTCATGAATATATGAATAATTCATATTTAATCATATACGGAGAGAGCATACATTACCATTCATGTTGTTACATATCGTCCAACAGGTGGGCAGTCCCTTCCAAGAACTTGGAACATTACTGATAAGGTGGAGGCGGAAATGACACTGCTCACTATTCTTATTGAACAACCAGGTTTTGGGCTTAAGTCATGGATGCGATGGCAAAAACGCTCATCGGATTCCCAATGCCTGTCATTTAATAGTGACATAATTTGTGTCTCGCAACGTTTGCTCCGACCATCTGGTCACTGTCACATGTTTGTGCAGTGATGTAAGAGTTCTTTGCCACAAACGGCCCTTTCGTTGATCATAAGATGGCCTTGTCTTCTCAAATTTCTCAACGCAATTATTTCCATAACACCACAGCCATCATGGAGACTGCTAAGGTTTGCGAATATCTCGTGATAATGTCTTCGCTATATCAAGCACTAACACATAGTTACTTAAGAACGCCGCCAACTACGCCAAGGAGACTGTCCAGGGCACTGGAGCCGAGGCCTCCAAGGAGACCAACAAGAACGTCGCAAACGACTCTGATGCTGGCTTCGGTACCCGAGAAAGCGCTGCAAAGGATGCCTTCGCTGACAAGAAAGACGAGAAGTCTCATGACGCCAAGGCGGATGTGAATAAAGGTAATTTAACATTTCTGGTATCATTTCGATGCATGAAACGTTAACAATATGTATCGAGAAATCAGTGTAACTTGAAATAGGTGAGTAAAGAATCATAGTGTTTTTCATAGGAATGAAAATGAGATATCTTCCAGGAGCCAAGATTTGCATGCTGTCCAGCCTGAGAAGAAATCAGGAAACAAACGCCGCCGCTCCAAATGATTTGCACAGGTCCACTCTGGGTTCCCATGCAATCCGGAGGGATTCTCATACAATCTGTGTATTATTACGCCGCAAAGATACTCCACCTTCTAAATGCATTATATTGTATCCCTCGATTAAATACGGCCCGAATTCGAGAATGACTGCAATTAAGACTCGAAAGGTCTTCGAAAAGTGATCATACGTATGATCTCGCCCTTGTGCGGTGTGCATTTCTCGGCCAGACCTTAGCCTCAGGCTCATATGAGAACATAAACAGGCTCGGGATACGAATACAGACAGAGCGACAGTTGCTTCATTGCCACACCAATCGATTTACATTAGTGGCATTCTCCCCAGACGGTCAAAATTTAGGATCCACTATCCCTCACACATGTCACCATGTGATCTTGGAAGGCAGTTTGGTTGTTGAAGCCACAAATGAAAGGTTATACTGGACGCGAGGCGATTGCGTAAACGGTTTGATCGATTAGCCTCAAGTATAGGATTGTAGTTTAGCGCACAACCAGCTACATATCGGATTATCGCTTCGGCGAAGGTTGCGTGTTAATGAAATTGTCCATCATCATTTGTCCGATTGTAAAAATCCGAAGATTGCGAATTGTAGATGAACCAATACGTCAATATTTTCGTCGTTTGAACAGTCAAAAACGCTCACACTTGCGCCCTCTCAGTGTTGCTGGTCCCTTTTATTTTGTGCAGTCTCTGTCTCACCCTCGCTTCTCTGCGATACGAAGTGTGCTTCGCAGGGGAATGCTGCGAGAAAAAGGTGCTGCGATAACAAGACTATCCCGTAGGATTGCTGCGACAACAAGGCCTAGCGACGTGCAGGCACCTCTTCGTGGTGTTAGGGACCAGTATTCGAGTATTCAACAGTATTCGAAGAAGCAAAGACCTGCCCAACCTCCTCATATTCTGTTTCTTATCCCGAAGGATCATCATCGGATAGATAGAATGAGCCCTAGATAGATCATCCGAAATTCAATACCAAAATTATAAAATAACAAATAAAGTGTCATTGTTATCAAAGGGGGCGTCCCAAATGTTCTGTACTGATAGTTTGCGGTCCGATAGTCCCCTCGCCGTAGTGAAATTGGCACCCTTCGTTCAGGCGTAGAGCAAACATGTTGGTGAGAGTTGGTGAGAGTTGGTGTTGGTGAGAGTTGGTGTTGGTGAGAGTTGGTGTTGGTGAGAGTTGGTGTTGGTGAGAGTTGGTGTTGGTGAGAGTTGGTGTTGGTGAGAGTTGGTGTTGGTGAGAGTTGGTGTTGGTGAGAGTTGGTGTTGGTGAGAGTTGGTGTTGGTGAGAGTTGGTGTTGGTGAGAGTTGGTGTTGGTGAGAGTTGGTGTTGGTGAGAGTTGGTGTTGGTGAGAGTTGGTGTTGGTGAGAGTTGGTGTTGATGAGTGTTGGTGTTGATGTGTTTGTTGAATATCCCGTTCACTGAGATGATCAAGGGGGCTGCGATCACGTGCATACATATATACCTGTCTACTAGCCTACCTGTAATTAACATACAACAACACACAATCAACTCCCATCAATAATATGAACACCGAAGCATTACTTATCAACCAACAGTGTTGATGAGTGTTGATGTGTTGATCAGTGTTGGTGTCGATGTGGTGAAATGTGTGTAGCGAAACATTACTGTTGTAGCGAATGGTCGGGCGGTGAAGAGAGGGGTGGTCAACGTCTCATGGAGGCAGCGCGGTTTCTTGCCATGTCACCCACATCATAGAAACTTCAATTGCATTTTTTTGATTCCGCAAGGCAATTTTGATCCCTGTTGGTCACACCTTGACGTACAGCCTCCAACTCAGTTGAGATGATCTGATTCACACATTGCTCATCTATGATCACGCAATATACTGTACGCACAAGATCAGACCTTCGGGTGTAGAGCCATGTGATGTGTCTCGAAAATCCGAATCGTGGGCTCAATTCAAGATGATTATGCGATAGGCTCTGTTTCTTGCGTCGTCAAAGAAATTGCTTGCGATGACTATTGCTAGTCACTTGAACCTTTTCTACACTAGAATACCTACATCATAGAGCGATTGCGAGAGTGAGAGTAGCTTTCCCTCGTGTTCAACGTGTCATTGGGAAGCTTTGGCTCAAGAATATCCGATCAGCTCCTTCTACATGTAGGAGCCGTCGCAACTTTGTGAAGAATTTCCCGTCAGTAATTACGATTCATAGTCCACCCAAGCTCTCGTAGAATGTCCACTACAGCGATGAAGAAACGATCGTTACTTTCTGTGGACGTATTCCTGAGCCATGCGACACAGCATGCTCCGCTGCTGATATAGCACGATTGAAGTCCGATCGGGGTTCAACATAAGCCATCTGAAACCAGACCTGGAAAAAATATATCTCTACGATCGCCGTTCAGGACCGGATGATATTCGCACAGGGTTAATCTGATCTACGTGTAGTCGTCGCAGGCATGCACCTAAACCATCCTTCCAAAGCAAATATGACGTGAGCGCTTATTAGGGGTAGAAATTTCAGTATAGACTGTACGGGAGAGTCCAAGAGGTCCTACAACCCGAGGGCTCTTGTGGTGCTGTTACAATAATCGTACCCACCTTCTGTGAATTAGGCGAACAGTGATATGCCAGAGATCGTCCGGACGCGATGAGTTTGCGGAAACATCATCGATGCTCAAAGGACAGTGAGCTCGGGAGGTAGAGAAGTCGGTGATTTGCTGGCAAGACCTGCTTGCGCCGCCAATTGCGATATGTTAGAAGACGGTCTCCATGGACAAATGATATTGGATAGCTTGACTGACCTCCAGCTGCAGTGACATTCAATGTATATGGGCTTGCACATAGTGCTCGGGCTTGGATAGAAAAACGCAGGCTTCGGAATCAAACCAAACAACCTTCGGTCCAACAGGGACGAGACAAACATTTTTGATAGCATACAGCTCCGTGTATGTCCGAATGATTTGTTCCCGCTCGCTCGTTTGTGTCGACAAGCTCAGCAATGCGGAGAGGAAGAGGGATCAGGGGGACTCTATCAGATGTGGTTGTAGGTTCATCTTCGACAAAAACCCCGCAACGACGGGATAAGGGCTAAGCTAATGACACTGCGATTCTTGTGCCACTCAACGATCAATCCCAGCGTAATATGACCAAGCGCTTCAACAAGATTGCCATTGAAAAGCAGCTCCAGATGTGGTCGAGATATCTCTGTCGAGGCAATCTGGGTACTTGTTTCAAGTAGGTGGACGATCATACTTTTCCTTCCTCCAGGCCTGGCCCGAACGGGAAAGGGAGAACAGGAAAGTATTCTGTCACAGAGGATGCTTGATGGACGAGAAGACCGATCCGACTGTACTGTATTTAACATTCTGTTTAAAGGGCCTGTCAGGTCCCCATCCATTTCCAGAGAACCTGCAACAACTGTTCGCGGTGGATCGGTTTTCCGATATAATCATTCATCCCCTTAGCAAGATACGTCTCCATATCTCCCTTTAGCGCATTTGCTGTAAGGGCAACGATAGGCACGTCAATGCCCATGCCTCTGATTTGCGATGTCGCTTCCAAACCATCTAGCACCGGCATGCTGATGTCCATGAGAACCACATTGTAGGACAAAGTCGTTTGCTTGACTTGTCGAACGGCCTCCGCCCCGTCCCAGGCAACATCGATGCGCTTGAAACCAAGGCTTTGAAGAAGCTTGAGCATTACCATATGGTTGACAAGGTTATCCTCGACAAGTAAAATACGCTTGCGCGGCGCAATCTCCCGCACTCTATTCAAGAGGTCCTTCGCATCATCGATTGAAGGCATGGCAGGCTGCTTGTTTGAATAGCCTATGTCTATGCGACCCATTCTGGCTGTGAACCAGAACACACTGCCTTTGCTTTGTGGACCAGGCCTGTAGCCCACCGTACCGTCCATAAGCTCAGCTAAAGTTTTGCAAATCGAAAGACCAAGGCCAGTGCCTTGGTACTTCTGGGCTGCGGAATCGGTAAATTGCGTAAAAGGTGTGAAGAGAGTATTGAGAGCAAAATCAGGAATTCCAACTCCAGTGTCCGCAAACTCTGTTGTAACCATGTATGCCTGCGGGTCAGATTCGACGAGAGAGAAAGTAGTAGAGAGCCGAATATAGCCCGTCTCCGTAAATTTCACTGCGTTCCCAAGCATATTCTGAACCACCTGGCGATACCGTAAAGTATCACCACGCACAGCTTTAGGGAAGTCCGGTGGGATCGAACAATCCAGCTCAACTCCGGGTTTCAAGAGAGACCTGCAGTTGCGCATGACAGCATCAAGAATGCCCTTGATATCCACGACGTCGGAGTGAAGAGAAAAAGACCCAGATGACAGCTTCGAGTAGTCGAGGATGTCGTTGATAATCTGGAGCAAGATCGATGTCGAGTCCTCAATGATCGAAGCGTATTCAAGTTGCTGGTCGGTAAGATCGGTGTCCTTGATCATCGCGAGCGCAAGCTGCATACCGTTCATGGGGTTCCGTATCTCATGGCTCATATTTGCCAAGAAATCCGTCTTCATCTTCGCTGACTCCTCGAAGGCTGCGATCATGCGTGTCTCAGCAGCCTTCCGTCCCGTGAGGTCACGCGTGACCTTGACAAAGCCAACGTGACGACCAAATTGGTGAATGGGCGTGATCATCACGTTGGCCCAAAAACGCGATCCATCTTGTCGATATCGCCAGCCTTCATCTTCCATCCTTCCCTCCTGTAAAGCCCGTGCTAGACATCTACCTGGCTTTTCTATATCACGGTCCTCAGGACTATAGAAAATGGAGAAGTGCTTGCCGATGATTTCCGAGGAAGAGTATCCCTTCAATATCGCGGCGCCAGGATTCCACGTGGTGATGTTGCCCCGAGTGTCGAGCATAAAGATGGCGTAATCTTTCACAGCATCGACCAATATTTTGTAAGTTTCGTTCATGTAGGTGTGCTGTTCATCAGTCGCGACCCAGTGATCTTTTGAAGTGTCTTGTGCCTCCAATACGACAAAGATCAATGATGATTTTTCGAAGATTGGCGTTATGCGAAGCTGATATATCGAATTTTTGCTTTTGGCGTGTATACCCTGAATGATTTGAACCTCTTTCGAGCTGATAGCTGCACGTAGCGCTCCATATAAAGTAGAAGTGTCCGGCGCAGGAATGATGTAGACCGGAACGTCGCAGGCGCAAGTGCCTACCAGTTCATCCCTAGATTGACCCGAGAAGGTACAATGACTGTCTGAAACTTCCACGATGCACCAATCCTCATCAAGAATCAAGGTAGGGACCGGATGATAACGATAAATTCGACTCAAGGAGGCGTCGAAACCTGTGCATTTCTGCGGCGTCTCCATCTTCTTCTCGTCCGTAGAATTCGAGCTCCGGTTGGGTTCTGCTAGTGCCGTTCCCTCGTCTCTCAGAGGTGTTGTGACAAAAGGCTTGCAGACAGGCGTGCCCGTATCGTCCAGAGTAAGAGTCAAAAGACCACTAGTGAGAGCCATACTCGCCGTCCATCTCCGAACTACCAGTTGATACAGTGAGCAGAGTACGCGATGTCTGTCCCAATATAAAATATGAGAATGAGTTGAGGGTGGGGCCAATGAGGCGGCGTATTTGGGCGATATTTCTGCACAAGGCAGATTAACTGAAGGATAGATTGGTATGTGGGTAGGCTGAAGTGATCTGGCTGGAGAGCAAAGAACGAAACAGTCGAGGGATGGGCCCCTGCGGTGTGCACGATCGGTGGGACACCACAGTGGCAGATAACCGTGCCAAGCCCACCAACACACTACCCGGTGTTGCTGGGCTTGGCACGGTTATCCTGTCCAGGAACAAGGGCGGGCCCACCTACATCACTAACTGCCCCGACCATTCATATGCGACTAAAGTGCACAGAATTATCCACTCGGTTGTGAGTGGATGGCTCATTCCTCCGGCTGCGGAGCGTGGCACCGCCTTGCCCTGCGCTTGATGAAAACTAGGGCTCAGCTTCAGATGACGCTGAAATGTAATAGGAGGAGGCGAAGGATGCCCTTGCCGAGGAGACTATAACGTAAGGAGCGGAAGAGGCTCTCACCAGATTTCTAGGATTTCTCCTGTTTGGTCTGTTGGCATGAAATATTTCTACGGGAAATTACGGTAATATAACAATGACTCATGTATAGTTACTAGTGAACACCCCTGTTCTCAAACTTTATTTATTATGCTGTTGTTACCCAAATTCTGGATCCTCATTCGCTACATTGACCCACTTCTATCCTCTGGTTCGCTATTTCCTCTTTCCACGCCCACTTTTGATTGCTGCTCAAGCATTCATCATCGTGGTTTAGTGTTAGCGTTTCATATTGTGATTTACTGGCTTATTTCACTCACAACCCTATCAGCTGAACCCCTAACCCTAGCGTTCATCGACTTACAGCTTATTTGTTGGTCACGCACGCTGGTTGCATGCATGCTCTTGCTACGCACTTTCATAATGTTGTATTTTTATTGGCTTGCCATTCGTTTGCACTGCGTGTTTGCTAATGAATTGGAAGCGGGGTTGGGCCGCAATGCATTGACATTGAATACCCCCAAACTTGATGAAACCCTGCGGTAAAAGAAATATATTGAGATTGCCCTCGGCTCGAGGAGGTGCTATCCTTTAGAGTGATCAAGGCGCCAGGTTTTTGGGACTTCTCTTCATTCTCCAATTCGTGCCGTACCGCAAAGTATACCTGCTCGGTAAGCGTTCTCTCGTGTAACTGATCGGTATGAAGGACGCCTCTCATCAATTGGCATATACTAATGAATACATTTAGCCTCCATCTAGCCGATGTCCCTAGTACTCTCTATAGAGTCCAATATGAGGATTCTATGACGACCTTTGACATATGAGGGGCTCGAGGCAGATGATACGGTTACGTTATATGATGGTGAAGGGGACGAACAGGAAGAAGACGATACTCTCCAAGAGTTTGGCGACGCAGTAGAGCAGCATTTGAGCTGGGACCCTGGCTATAGGAGCATTTATATCTCGCTCTTTTCTCAGAGAAGACATGCTGGAAATTGGATGCTGGAAAGGCATACCCGTTTTGGCAGCAGAAACTGCACTCTCCTTCAGATTAATACGGCGGCTCTTCACGGCTTTTTTATCTTCCGCGCCGAGGAGATTGTTGATGCACTTTCGTTGTCGATTCCAGAAGCAGCCCAAGCGAGTGTTGCTAGGGAGTATCTTATTGCCCATTATATACCCCCACATGCTATTATAAGAAGTCAAACTGTCCATGACATTCTAGCAGGTAAGACCACGCCTTTCTCGGTAGATTCTGATGTGGCTTGGGCAATAGTGCCATGTCTCAGAATCTTGGACTTTAAAGTAAAGAAACACTAAGTTACTGCATATAGCTCGGCATCAGCGTCATCCTTTGATTCCCCCCCCCCTTGCGGCCATCACCTGAGGATGTGACACCACCCCAGCTAATTGCACAGCTTGAGGCAATGGGAATATAATACGTGAAGGTCAAAACACCATCCGTCCCTCTGTTTTTTGTCACCGGAAAGGGCCCTTTGTGTACCAAAGACGGCAGTAATTTGATTTCGAATGTAGATGATAGAGACTCTAGCAGTGATATAACGCGATTTATCAGAAATGGTGAAGCATCCTAATGCCGTGAAAATATATCCGTAGTTAGGCCAAGGCGACTTCACAGAAAAGCGAGATGATGCAACGCATCATCCCGTGCGCCCGCCACTTATCTATAGATCCCACGATCTTACTAGATGTTTTCAATTTATATACTGTACCTCATAGTTTCTCCCTCGGATTGGTAGTGCGCTGATGACGTGTCCAGATACACCGCTTCGTGTTTCTACAACTGCTCTTGTACATCCCGATTCCCCGCCTCTTACATGTCTTCCACCCACCCCATCAGTCTCACGTCCATGTCCTTTCCCCCCTCCCTCGTACGATTTGCCAAGTCGTCACAATGATGACTTCGTAGCTACTGGTTTTTTACCAACCCCGGCGCTACCATCCCAACTGGCCCGGCCCTATCCTCACTTTCCTCCCCCTTCCTATTTTACCCCGTCAAACGTCCATTCCACCTTCGTCGAACCTGGCATCCCGTCTGCCGTACTGCCACCAACTCTCCCAGCATCCCCACCTGAAATAATCTCCGGGATCCGCTCCAGTCCTTACGGGCAATGTGTTTCATCACCTCCTCGCCTTCTTGCTCCAAGACCGACTCTGGATACGATTACGAGACCGTGTAACCCACAGTCTCGGAAGATGACGCACCACTTGTGCCCAATCCGGCTACCGTTCCAATAGATTGTTTAGTTCGGGATGGGGTGTCTCCAACCTCCCGGTCTCACTATACTCTAGGAGCTTCGATCAATGGTTTCCCGGAAACGGATCCCCACAGCCAACGATCGATTCCTTACCTACCTGGCTCGGTCCAATCTGCCACCCCGACGAAGAGCTCGGGCCCGTCTCGAACGCTTCCACAACCCAAAAGACACATGCAGGACACCGATGCTGACTTTGCCTACATTATCGATAAAGCTCTAAAGTTGCTGCGCGATGATCTTGAATCGAGACATTCAGCCTCTGCGACTTTTCCACCGGTGCTAACTGAAGCTCAAATAAGAGCTTGCATCGCCCGATATCAAAAACATATAGAAAATGCCGCAAAGCAAGGTGTGTGCTCATCATCCGGAAGATTTGTACCTGTTTCCGAAATTGTTGAAATGGAGGACAGCGACCCTTTGCTTGAGCCGCTAGCTGCCCACCTTGACTAATGTGGCAAACATGACGACGAGTGGGATATATGTTTGACCTGCCTCAAGTCTCTATCTCAAAATTCTGTTCCGAGATTTTCTGCGTTGAACCGTGTGAACATGACAATGTGTCAAAATTATCCGTCGGCGCTTGAAGGCCTTACCCCAGTCGAGGAGTGTCTTATTGCTAGGTGCCATCCCCTCGGAATAATTTTGAAGTTGCGCCCTGGGGGCCACACGTCACCGGTATCCCATCGTGCTCTGCGCGGCCACTTCATCGTCATCCCGCAGGACCCAGAGCCACTTCTTGAAATTCTTCCGAGCCCAGCATTAATGTTGCATTATGTGATTAGGGTGTTTTGGTTGGGAAAACAGCCCGCCACCTACGCGGATTTATCTCCATTTTTGCTGGTACGAAAGCATAGGGTACTTAGGGCTCTCCAATATCTAACACGACATAATCATGTTTATCACAATGTTATCGTCAACCCTCAAGTGATCGACACGTGGGATGACGACTTCATTCCAGCCGAACTTGAAGAGAAGATCATTTCTGTGGATGTGCCAGATAGCCTGGAACGAGAGGGCTACTCGGTTCATTTGGATGCTAGTAACCACGAAAATGATTTCCAGGCCGCACAAGATACTGACTGGGAGATGGGTATAAATGCGCCACTGGTGACTGGGTCTGTTTCCACCGGTATTAACGGTGAACGTCAGAGCCCCGAGAGGCGCCTCTTGAAAGCCTTGTTGGACATAGTTGCAAACCCTCCCGCATCATCCATCCAACATACACTTACACATGGCCAGCAGCAAATACCTAGCCTTTCTTACAGAATCCGGGGCCAGGCAACCCTTGTAGACCATTGGCATGATGCAGCGTACTTTACTGGTGCCTTTCCAACTTTGTTTTCGCTGGGCATTGGAGGTCATCTGGACGAACGCCCTTTGGACGTCTTTTTATCTTCATTTGCGGAGTGGGCACTGAAGCACCACAGCAGGAGGTATGAGTCACTGGCTGCTACTCATTTGTGAGCTTTCGTTTCTGACTAGAGCAGATTCGCGCGCCACAGAACCTTTATGTATCTGATATACGATGTGCTACAGATTCGAAAATCTTCACTCGGGAATAAGTTGGTTCTTCAACGTCGGCACTGGTCATCAACCACTGGCGATATTTCTTCTCTTACAGAGGATCGGCTTCGTGCTGCGCTTCGCGATCTAGAAAACCTTCATGAAGTCAAAGATCCACCGGTTTCCCGTCTGCTACATGTTATGAAAGCAATTGCCATGTGGGTTCCTGGGTCTTTCGCTCAGAAATTGAGAATGCGTTCTGAAATCCGAGGTCTCATCGTCTGTTTTGGAATGCCTGCTTTTGGATTACCATCAATCCCTCAGATTTACGAAGTCCACTTGTCATCATCTTGGCTGGTATTGAGTATTCCGACGATATCTTGTCCGCCTCGAATTCCGTTATTCGAGATGCGACCGCTACGTCCAACCCAGGGGCGGTTGCCTCATTTTTCCATAGTGTTTGTACCGCTGTTTTGGAGGGTTTGTTCGCTAGCGGGCGCGATCGCACTGGAATTCTCGGAGATGTTTCAAATCATTATGGCGTGGTTGAGATCAATGGCAGAGGGATGTTGCATTTACACGCAATGGTGTGGCTCAAAGGCAACCTCTCATTTGCTAATCTGCGAAGCGGCGTCCTTGCCGACGCCGACTTTGCTACGCGCGTTCTCCACTGCCTCGAAAGTGTCATCATCCAGAGCGTAGATGAGAGTACTCCCGTTGATCCGAAAGTCAATCTTGCGCCAATGGGCCCCTCTGCTTCCGACCCAGAATCAGATCATGATTTCCACCTTGGACTATTTAATGATAGCAACATTGCTCGGTCTAAACAATTGCACTCCAAAAGGCACTTCGCCACGTGTTTCAAGTACCGCCCGACAGACCGGTCTAAAAGCACGTGTCGCTTTGGGATGCCCCGTGAAATCGTTCCATCGTCCAAAATCGACGATCTCGGGGTGATTCACTTAGCTCGGAATCATCCCTAGATAAATCCGTGGAATCCCACCATTGCCAGCTGTCTCCGTCCAAATCACGACATCTCTTGGATCCCGACCGTCTCGAAATCGTTGGCTCTAGTCTACTACATCGCCAACTACGCCACTAAAGACGATGTGTCTCCATGGCAGATGGTAGCGAAAGGAGTATTCTTGAAGCAAGCAATCGAAAAGGCAAAAGTCGCTGACCCATCAACCGCCACTGATCTGCGGCTTCGGGAAAGGAATATGGATAATTTCGCGCTCCGTTGCTTCGATAGTCTGGCGCACGACCGGAAAGTGAGCGGTGTTCAGGTCGCCAGTACCCTGCTCCATCTTCCTAACTACTACACTGTCAACACCAGATTCGTCCGTGTCAACATGTGGCAGTACGTACGTGATCTTCGACGTGGTTCCAGTACAGATGCTGATGATTCCGCTGGAACTGCCGACGAGCCCTGTACATTCCAAGCTGGGGATACAGCTCCAGTAAGTTTGTTCGACAATTATAAATGGCGTGGAGCCGACCTTGCCGCCTTCTCATTCTTTGAGTACTGCATGCTGGTCCAAATAGGAAGCAAGCGAAGGAATCATCCTGATCACTTTGACTTTCACCCGCGCCACCCGAGACGTAGTGCCTGTGTCCAGCATGTCGCCCGCTTACCGTCCCAGATAGCCATAGTCCCATTCAGTGGCCAACTCACACAGTATCAAACGGCAGAAGACTCCATCCGTGGAGGGCATCCGATGACCGATGCCATTGCGAATGATCTTGCGGAGATACTTCTCGGCCTTTTTGTTCCCTGGGACAAACTACGCGATATGTGTCTTTTTGAGCCTCCCGAAACCAATGTTTTGTCACACATCTGGTCGTCGGTCAAACCCACGCTTGCGCCACATATCCAAGAATTTGCCGCAAATATCGAGCTTCTCCGGAAATCAAAGGACGATTGCCAGATAGACGCTAGATTACGACACTCTATGAACAACCCCGCCGAGCTGTTCGACCGCCATGTTGATCACATAGATTCGGCCGACCTTGAGCGGATAGACGCACAGGATAACGATTGTTTCGTACCTCCTGAGGATGAAAGATTCACGGCGGAGACTTTGATTGCCGCCTATAATACTGTAAGCAAGACCTGAGGCCGAGACTGTTTTATAGCTGCGAAGAGAACAGCGATCCTGGCAACTTTCTGCCGAGCACACAACTCCGCACGGATAAACCCGCTTCCTGCCAGTACTCATTCTCTCCGATCCGATCACTCCTTGGATTTAAAGTTTGTCCCACCCACATTCCTACGGGACTGAGAAAGCCGCCTTGCCAACCATAAGAAACCATTTCAGGACGGCGGCCCGTCTGAACCTGCTACCGCGCAACTGCATGACTTTGATCTAGCAGATGAAGATGGCATGCTACAACCCGTATTGACAAACGCAAGCATGTCTGGTGATACACCAGCACGGCTTGCTCTCCTCGAAAATCCAACGCCAGATTCAGTGTTGACGCTGATCTGCACAGATATCCTACTGAATATGAAGCAATCGCTCGTGGTGCGGAAGTTACTAACCGAAATTATCATGTGGGCTGATCATTACTGTGATCCATCAAGGCGCAAGCAACTTCTCCTCTGCATTACGGGAGAAGGTGGCACGGGTAAGACCCAGATACCTAAGGCCATCGAAGCCGCTCTGGATATTCTTGGTCGGAAGCACGAGATCATCCCGACCGCCCCCACGGGGGCTGCAGCAGACAATTTAGGAGGTAACACCTATCATACTTCTCTTGGCATCAATATTTCCTATAAAGCAGCCATCGGCACCCGCGTTAGAAGGCTACGGGCGCAAAAGACTATCTTGGTTATTGACGAAATGAGCATGATGGATTTAAGAATGCTAAGCGTGATCAACAATCAATGCAAAGTCGCTCGGTCACTGCCGAGATCCTCTCCCGACCTCTTTGGCGGCCTTCCTATCGTGATTCTTATGGGCGATTTCTTCCAGTTCTCTCCTGTTCGCGGCCCACCATTATGGAAAGAACCAAGGCATGGAGTTGATGAGGACGCCGCCGGCCGGCAGATCTGCGTAGGTTTGAACATGTCATCATTCTCGATGAGCAAATAAGACAATGCGAAGATCCTTCGTTTCATGAGTTCTTGACGCGCATGAGGCAAGTAGCATTGACCGAGGACGATATTACCCTCCTGAATTCCAAATCCATCCCCTCACTTGTAGATCCAATCTTGGAAAATGCCACTGTCACTGTCAAATTAAACGCCATCCGACACCCGATCAACCGGATCCGTATCGAGAATTTTGCTCTGGGAAGATCTCAGCGGATTTATGTCTTTGCCGCGATTCACTCCCGGACTAAATCAACTGGCCCCGTAAACCTCCGACTTCAAGCTCATGACTTGTTGCTCCAGCCAGATCACAGTGCCCAGTTTCCATTCCCAGGACTTCTTCTTTATACGAGAGATATGCCGACCATCATGCTCACTAACGCCTGCACCCCTCTTGGTGGTGCTGGTTCGGACTCACTCTGGTGCCCTCCCAACGGTTTCCTGCTCATTATTAGCTTGTAGGTTGGAGAGGCATCCTATGAGTCACACGTTCTGATGGTCAAGACCAGGGACGAAGAAACGTAAAAGAGATCCGTGGTTCTTGCCCTCGTGTATAGTATTCGGAATGTACGGATCTGGGTGTTGGGCATCATCTTTGATGTTAGTCCAGTTTCAGACAAGATCGGGCTGAAATTCACATTCCTGCTTGAAGAGTCGCTCTTTTGGATCGGAGAGGCATCCAGGGGCGGGACAGTGGATCACCTCGATTGGCTGCTATGGTGGAGAGAGATGTGCGCGAAGAACATATGCTTTGACCAGCTAACCCAAATCACGTCTCTTTGGTCGGGCATGGATGGTACAGTGGATCTGCTGAGAATCACATCTCTCACAGACACTGTCTGACTTGCCGGTCCACGATGTATTCTATAAATGTCAGTACAGTGGAAATTTCAGTACTGGGTCAATGGGGGAGGACTTATCAAGTGACTCAGACACAAGCCTGCTCGACCTTGCATAGTCAAGTGATTGAATTGTAGAGCAAATTGCTGGGGTAGAGGACGTATTTATAGACTTCTCGGCTCCTTCTTTTGCGTAAGTGCTCTGCTTGGTAGAAAGCGTTGAGGAACACCTCTTTTAATGGAAGCCTGTTGAAACAAACCCACGTCTTCTTTTTACCGCAACTATTTGCAGCGACATCTTTGATGCCCCCAGATGCTCAGCGAGAGAGACGAGTGAGAGTGGTGTTGAGAAAAAGGGATGCTGAGTCGGTCAAGAAACGTTGGCTCACTGCCGAATCCTTCGCGGCCCTCTTAAATCGAGGCTTTGTGGGAGATATGCAATCCGCAATGACAGGCTCATATTTCGTGTTCTGATCACCTCATCTGTGTGTGACTCAACGTCAAATCACCGAAAAGCGCCTTCAATTTCATCCCCAGAAATCATGACTTTAGTGCTGTGTTGGTTGTGTTGAGCTGTGGATATGTCCGTCCCGACTACGGAAAGCGAGGTCACGGTCGGTCAACCCGTTGAAGTCTGGCCATAGTTGTCAAAATTCAATTTTCGAACTTGTGATCATGACATAGATACATTGAACTTTTATTTTTTTAGTTTTCTCTTCTGAACTTCTTTTTTTGATGATGATAAGTTCTACAATGTTCTATTTGTCAGATTTCTTAGACTTTCAACGAAAGTGAAAGAGGTGTCTGATTGAAATATATATCTCCTCAATGAGCGTTCATAGGTATCATATCTGACCCTCAACATCGTGAGACTTGATCGGTCTCCCCGACCGACTGGTTGATCGCTATCCCTATCTGAATACACTGTCAACAGCCCGCCGAAAAGCAACCAAGTCCTAGTTAAAGTCCGACCGCATCAATTAACAGTATAGAAACCCGTACATAGTCACCGGCGTTTGCATAGTCTATAAGAGACACAAATATCGATGGAAATGGTATTTTTCAGACCCGTGACTTTCTCCTGCGGACAACATGGATGCACAATACAGCTCGACAGACCAGGAAATTGGAGATCAGCAGCACAGCGAGTTGCCAACCCTGAGTAAGAAAGATGTATCACAGGAAAGTTCTGACTATGTCCCATTGGTAAGTGAAACGATTCGGCTTCAAACGCTTTTGCTGACCATTGCAGCCCTCCCCTTTGCAACAGGAAGCAGACACAAGACACACGCTGGCGGCTGAGCCCTTTCAACCCATCTTGAAGGTGCTAGCAGACCTCGAACGTGACGATCCTAAGTTCGCCTTTCCTGCGGCTCGACTTGTCGGACTCTATCGACGCCTATGGGAGTCGTGCGTGTCCAAGCACATAGATGGCGAGAGACTAGAGCAGAGCATTCAGAACTTAAAGGAGGCTGGTACGCACCTGAGAAAAGAGATGAACGGTCTTCAGATTCGCCACGACAAGCAGCTGTCCCGGCTGCGCTTTTTCGAGCAGGCACTGGAATATTCTCGGGAACGACTGACTAGCATACTTGATGACTGGAACTACCCTTCGAGACTGAATCTGACAGGGTTACCGGACAGCGCAAGAGGAGGGTGAGGGATTGTTTATTCAGGACTGTCTTGTCCCATTTTTAGACACAGAGATATTACAATAGACGTTGCAAATCAAGGGGAATTACCGCATAGGAAGCAGGTTCTATGTTTATGACTGAGTATTCATAATAGAAGCGTATAGAACACCTGCCGATTTGTTTCCCACTTATTCATTGAAAAGTGTTCACGAACTATTCTGCATGTTCTGGTATCACCTGTAATTACGCGATATATTATGCACAAAAAACGTTGGATCCAGGGATAGCGTTGGGGGCAGCGCAGTCAGCGGAGAATATGTCGAGAGACTCGAATATGGTAGGGATTTCATACGAGGCCAAAGGGACAGTCGGAAGCTAGTGCCTGTTGAACCAACAGCATGCCAGGTGATTGTTTCTAGCAACTGCCTGCGTACCCGACAGAGATTCCCCAGGGCCGTTTCAACCCGCGGCAGGAAGAACAGATCCTCTCCTATAGTCTCACCAGATACCCGGTCAAATTGCACAAATCGAAATTCTATCCAGTGCACGTCTTTAGGGAAAAGGAGCGCTGACATGTAGAGGAAAATGTCGCCAGCCTGAGTAGAGATGAATAAAGGATCTGGACCCATCCACTTGAAGCCGGACAGACTGTCGCGATTGGGGTAAAGATGGCATTCGATCAAGGAAGACCCCTGAGCTTCATCTCCTGCGGGGTCGACTTTGTTAAGAATCTGCCGCGGATCATCGGGATCAGTGGCGAGACAGGGAGGCGGTGTCGGTATGCCAGAGGATTCATGCCAGATAGCGTGAAGGTCGAGATCCAAATCGTAGTCTACTATTGTAAGCACAAAACACCATTGAGGTAACGGGTACAGACCATCTTTGCCCGAGTCATTCATATCCGTCGAAAGCTCGCTGTCGAAGCTGCTGTAGGAAAGAAATACAGAAGTGTATAAAATAGAAGTTTAACGAGGGTTGAGAGAGATGGAAAGCTGGAGGCTGAGCAGATATTTTACTTCACTCTGATTACACAAGGTCAGGACAAACCAGGGGGAATTCATAGCCAGATGCTAAGTTATCGAATGCGTTGGATGTATCAACAGCCGTGCATCGTTGGCACCCGTCACCAAACCCAACTAACGTTCACCAACAGTATAGACCTTATCTAAAATTAGCGCTAATCCTAAGGAGATAGCGCAAATAGATAGAGGAAAATCCAAATGTCATTCTTCATGCCCATAAACGCTCTACCACATGGAGACTTTATCAAGGCTCAGGCTCATCGACAGAGTAGGCTTGAAGATCGCCGCTTCCAAGGCTGAAACAACACCATTACAAAGAGCCTGAACCGCTCGTCTGCGGTCCCACAATACTGATGCTTTTTCATCACAGAGCTGTAGAAGGTTGTCGCTGTCGCTTGCTAGCCACTCATTTGACGCTTGAAGCTGTCGCTGCTCCTCCTCGAGTCGTATTTTCTGGGCCGATTTAACGACGTAGCATTCCCATAGGCAAAAGTACAAGTCGAGCAATTTGAGGACTGGTGTAGCGAGGGAGTCATTGAGGTTTACTACTTTCATGAACTCCGCTGTAAGGGTATCTCGTGTTCTCACTGGAATCTATTCAGTATTAGTGGCTTTTTTTCATTTCCTGCCGAGGGGGTATGACCGACCTCGGGTTCGATGGTTGTGCCGTTTGAGGCTTGCTCTGGATGGTTTTCCAACTTGGGTTCATCCTCTGGAGCTTGGGATACTCGGCACTGTCTCTTGGCTGGCCGATCAATTGGGGAAGGCGAAGTGGGATGGTCCATTTTGGTCATCAAGATGGATTGGATCAGAAATTGTGCTCGAGGGTCATTTATAGCTGACAAGTCACGCCGAGGCTGCTGTCATTTCTACCAATGCTTCCTCGCCTAGGATCGACCGCACTTTTGAAAAGCCAGTGAACAGTTAGCTCAACTGCTGATGCTCGATCTCCCCAGCTGCTCACCCCGAATTACTCACCGATATACGAAAATGAACAAAACTTTAAACGTTGAAAAATATCGTTACCGAACCTATTTCCTAACGGAAGGTAGTTTGCAAGTGTACTTCTGACGCATTGAATGCTAGACATCAAGTAGAGCTCGTTGAAACTTAACCGTGACATTAACTTGACTGCAAAACATTTGAAGCCAAGAAAACCAGATATATTGCGTTTGAGCATAATATTGATACCCATTGACGTTGGTAACAGCCAATCTCGCATTTTGATACGGACCTACCAGAAGTAGATTTCACTAGCTCTTCTAGGCTACCAATCTTTCTTCTTAGTGACTGCACCAAAAACGTTTGATGAGTGTTATCATATCATTTTGTTTTGAATAGGCCTCCGGATATTATTGTTATTTCCTAGATCCCACCGATCTCCTCAAACCTGCCGTCCTCCTTCCACGTACCACGAGCACGTTGACTTTGAGATATGAGATAATCTTCCTTTTCGAGATTTCAAAGGCTTAAGCGAAAGCTTCATGAATTCAAAGATGCCTTTCT